GCCGGCGCCAGGAGGAAGAGGGACCCAGGGCTGGATGTTCTCTGGACATCAGCCCTACTGCCCTCCTTAGAGCTAGTGATGCAGAGCCAGGGAAGCTGAGGATGAATCAAGCAATTTGCGTGTTTACTGTCCCGGCTGTGACCTTTGACCCCGGAACCAACCGGTCAACAGAATCTCCCAGGTAACAGCAGGGGCTCAGCAGCTGGCCGGGCTTGAGACTTTAGGGGAGGTGGGCACTTCCAGCCCTGGGCCCTGGCAAGCTCTGGGTGCCTCCTGGCATCCTGGGGTCCCATGGATCCCTAGCACTAGACCCAAGAATGTTCAGAGAAGGAATAAAAGTGATTTTCTGAGGACTTAAATATATGTAACACGACACTTCTATGATCAACCAAGCTATTTCACAATTTTAGGTCTTAGAGCAAAAGTATAGAGTATTTAAAAAAATCACTCTCCACTCCCCCAACGGTCCCATTCCATTAAAATTTTATTTCTTCATGAGTCCCCATTTCTGGAAATGCTATCAGCTCTGTCCAGGATCCTATAACCACAAGCCTGCATTGCAGGAACAGAAAACAAGTGGGAAATGGCCATGGAGACAGAAAGGATTGAAAAACCACAAAAAGGATCTGGGTCTTCGTTTCCAGGACAACAGGGGGGTACGGGCACAGGTTCTTAGAACTCAGTGCAAATACCAGCTTCAGGAGTCCTCTAGGCCAGGGCTCCCTTCCCCATGCCCCTCAGCAGCTCCTCTGAGCCCACAAGGTGAGTCAAAGCACCTGGACAGACCTGATACCCCGGGTTTGAGCAGTCCCAGTGAGTAAAAGGCTCTCACACCAGCATCCAGGGCTCTGTGCCCACCCTCTGCCCATGCCCATCTCTTGCAGGACTGGGCTGAATTTCAGCCCTACTTGCCCTGGCCTGGGCGGTGTCCCAGGACAAAGTGGGAACATCATGTCCAGAGAACCCACCAAGGCTCCCTCTCTAGGCAACATTCTGTGAGCTCATAATACTGGCTGTTACCTGGATCCCTCCCTCCCTCTGCCCGGAGCTCCCACTTCCCCCCACTCTCCATCTGGATAAATGCTACCCACCTGTAATCTTCAAACCAGTCTCGAGTCCATTTAGAACAAACCTCACCCTTAGCTGGGCACTTGGAACGTTGCCACATTCTACCCTTGCTTCTTGCGGTAGGGTCGGCCTCCCTCAGTCCACGTTCGACCTGGTTTACCTCTTTTCTGGAGCACCTAGCCAATCGCCTCCCCTAGCAAGGGCCCACTGAACACACAGCCGAGTGTCCAGCTGATTTTTAAAAGAGAACAGGGGCGGGATATCCTGGTCACTTATGACCTCGAACCTTGTAACTGTAATGTACGCTCCCTTTGTCTTAAACCCTGCAGTTACTCTCAACCCAAAATGGATTCATCCAGTTCAGAGAGAGCACAAACTGCTACGCAGTCTGTTGGGTCTTTTGGGGACAGGAGCCCAAAGGGCAAGCCTGAAGGTTTGCTTTTATTTAATCTCTCCGAGTCTGACATGCCGCTGGGTATTGATACCCAAGGCTCGAAAAGCCCAGCTCCCACGCACCTGCTCTGGAAGGTTTTCCAAATTACCTTTAAATGTCAAGGTGTGTCTCACCTTCTTCAAGATGATAAAAGATGTGGGGCAAGGAAAACAACCCAACCAACCAAGCAGGTGGAAAAAGCAGACATGAACAGGCTGAGGTTTAATGAAAGCAACACAAAATAAGCCAGAGGCATAGCCTCCCCCAAACCAGAGAAGCCTTGGGGCATGCACAGCCAGGAGAAAGCAAGCCAGAGAGGAAGCTTGGCACTGCCTCACCTGCCACTTGTCCAATGGGGGGAGTGCTACCCCATTGGAGCGGTTAAGGTCGGACACCAGCACCTTCAGGATGTCCTGAATCTACAGGAGGCGAGAAGGGAGAAACAAGGGCAAGGGGAGAGAGAAAAGTGGCTTAGAGAGAGGTGAGAGAGTCAGGGAAGGAAGAAGGGAAGAGAGAAGGGAACAAATCCATGGCCTGGGCCGCCTTCCCAAACGGCCACCGGCTGTCTTGCTGGAGACAGAAATCAAGGTACACAAAGGGAAAAGTCCCCTGAACTAGACAGAGAATGCAGTCACTGGCCCGATGCAGCAGTTTTCTTAATACACTCATGAGACCCGCTCCTCAGGCCCAGGATGCTGGGGACGAATCTGACAGGAATGCCATCTCCCTTCGAAAAATCAGACTTCTGAGGAAGGGTTTGATTAAACAAAGGGGGTTCCAGCTAGAAGTCTGAAAGGTACAGATCTGCTCCAACAATATCCTCTTACGGATGAGGCCACTTGACCCAGGGGAGGAAGTGATTTTCCTGAGGTCGCCCAGCAAGCTGGTGGCAAAGATGGACTCAAAAGTCAATGTCACCTAACCCAAGTGCTTGGGCCCCTCCTCGCTACACCCTGGGCCTCTTCCGGTGCTTCCTAAAGGGACAGTGTGACGGCATATGGCTGCTCTCACTGTGTGGCTTCCCGTTTGAGGCCGGGGATGAGGAAAGTCACCAGATCAGTACATCAAATACCACTACCCTTTAGCAAATCTTTACCCTGCACCAGGCCCTATAGCAGGCCTGGGTGGCTCAGTCAGTTAAATGTCCGGCTCTTGATTTCTTTCTCCTCAAGTTACGATCTCAGGGTCCCAGGATGGAGCTCCACGTCAGGCTCTGTGCTCAGCCGGAAGTCCGCTTGAGGATTTTCTCCCTCTCCTTTTGTCCCCCACCCCCACCCCTCTCTCTCTCAAATAAATAAATCTTAAAAAAAAAAAAACAACCATCTCATTCCAGTGTCACAAGTGTAAGTAAGATAACATTACCCCAATCTTCCTGATGTGGAAATATACCCCTAGCAGGGACATTATCCCTGGCAAAGGGAGAGTTAGGACTCAAACCTGTACCTGACACTTCTTCCACAACTTTAACCACCACCCTCTTCTCCCCTTGGAGCAACCCCTGGTCCCAGGAGTTTGGCCAGCCAATACTCACATCCTCAGGGGAGTGACAACTATGAGAAGCTGTTGTTTCTGAGCAACTCCCATTTTTGATCTTCCGTTTTTTCTTTACTCCTGCAGGAGTACCAGGACTATTCTTCTGCTGATACTCCCTCAACTGCAGAAAAGAAAAGCAGTGAGAACTCTAAGCTCCTATATTCACACCCAACTCCCAATATAGGAGTATATCGTAAACTTTGTAGTTTACGATATACTCCTATATTCGCCATCTGATTTAATGCCATCAACAGCCCTACAAGGTGCTGTAATTCTCAGTGACCACAGAAATGGAATGATAACATGGCATTATAAAAGGGGGGGAGCAATAATGGAATTTAAACCTAGTCTTCTGACTCTGAGTTCTGGGGGTATGCCATGAAATCAGCAAGTGCCAAGAGGCAAAACCAGAGGTGGAGATGAAAAAGTAAACATCTGAGTAATCTAGGGTCCTTTCCTACCCATCTGTTAAAGCTGCACACTGGTACTTATCAAACTTTTACATTAACGTATCCTGATGGCAGAAGGCAATGAAGGCCACACCTAGTGAACGTGGACAACCCAAGCACCATTTCACTAGAAGTCTATTATCATCTTACAAATCTATGCAAATGTCATCCCTAGGTACATTAATATAAAAGGACTTTTCTCCCTCAAGAGAATCAAGCACAACTTATACTTCAGTCCCATATTATCCTGTGGCATTTAGAAAACTCCATGTTGAGATGATGATTTGGGGAAGATTCCCACCTGTGAAGTTCAGGTTCCAGAGATCTGTTCCACAGAGGATAAGCAGATCTCACTCCAAAGAGCACTGATTGAGGGGGACTCTGGTCCCAGAATCACAGGGAATTAAAATGTGAGGTAGAGAATTTAGATTTAAAATGTGAAAGTCTTTCTGGACAGTATAAACCTAGGAGGAAACCATACCAAAGAAAACACATTCTCCCCTTGTCACCAAGGTGTTATCAACGTTCCGTGATCACTTAAGTCAGTTGTGCAAGGATGGGGTACAGTCTTAGAGTAAGGGCTCCTGAAACCTCTTCCACCTAGGTCCCATAGTCCCCAGTCCCCTTTAAGCTGGATATTTGTGCCGCGACCCGAGAAACCGGAAAGGGTGTGAAAACACTGGGAATCTGGGTAGTAAGATCAAACACCGGACTCGTGGCGCTAATGACAGTTCCGAGGGGGATTGTGACGTAACTACATTCCACTCCTCCCTACCGACGCCCGAGTCGCCGCTCCGCGGTGGGGGAGGGGAAAGCAGGGCCGGGACCGAGGTTCTCCGAGACCCGGACCGGCCAGGAGAGTCCGGTCCTCTAGTTCTGGGTGGCAGAAGGCGAGGGTCAAGCCCGGAGAGAGGATCCCGGGGGTCACAGGCCCAAAGTCACCCAGGGGCGACGGGCGAGGGCGAGGGCTGGGCTGCCGGGGGGCGGGACTGGCTGAGAAGACTTTGGGTGGGGGAGCGCCAAGGGGCGCCGAGGGGCTCGCCCTGTGTGCCTCGGGGGCAGCACAGACTCTGGCCACGGCCCGGCCGTCGGAGAGGCCTTTGGCTGGGTCAGGGAGCCGCGACTCGGCACATTTTACCTTTTTCTTGGCAGCTGCCAATTTGCTCTGTCGGGTTTCTTCCGACATCCCGGGAAGGGGGGAGGGAAGGGGGGGCCACATCACCAAATCCCGTCAACCACTGCGGAATAGCTTCCGCTGGTCAAAGCGCCGGTGTGCGACTGAGCCAGAAAAGGAGGGACCGGGAGATTCTAGGCAGCAGCTGGGTGGGCGTGGCCCCAATACTTGAATCCTATTGGCCGGAGAGAAAGATGAAAGGAAAGGGGGCGTGGTCAGACGGCCGCGGGCCCCAAGGGACAGGTGGAGTCACAATGAAAGCTGCGCGCGCAGCCGCTGTCCCCGCCCACCTCGAGGGAGGGGCGGGGCTTGAGGTGGCGGGGTGCGCGCGCACATCTCCCTAGCTGACCGTTCCCGGCCTCCGTCATAAGATTCCGAAAAAATGGCGGGCCTGAGGGGCTGCTCTCCCGCCCTCGCCCTGGACCCTCCTGCACTACATACTCCTCCGAGACGGGGACCTCGGACCCCAGGGCTCCGGAGGTAGGCAAGGAGCGGAGGGCAGGGCGAAAGGGCATCCCTTCATAGTCCCCTTCCGGACTCCCCATGGCCCTGCCCCAGACTCTCCCATCCCAGAGATCACTTCCGGAAACCTCCATCTAGCCCTCCATACACTCCCCCTGTCAAGAGTCTCCCCTTCCTTGAGGATCCCTACCCTGATACTGGACCATAACTAACCCCTTTCCCAACTCCTAACCTCCCACCCCACCCACACACCCCTTTCCACCCAGAGCCGACTCTAGGCCCAATCAGCATTTTTCCCTCGGATTCCTCTCCAGGACTCAGCCAGGACTTTCCAAAAGTTGCCACGGGACCTTCCGATCCCCTGTGAGTATGTCTTTGCACCCCTCCCTTCTCACCCTCCACCGTGGAAGTCGGTGCTGCTCCCAGCCCCTCCTCTATCCCCAACAGTAGCTGATCCACCCCAGCCCTCTTCAAACCTTCCCCCAGCAGACCTTGTTCTGCTGAGAAACTCCAGGTCATTTCTCAGTCCTTCCCCTTCTCTTCCTCCCTGCCCACCAAGCTTCAAAGAAGAAACCCTGTCCTGGCATTTGCTGGTGGTACCCCAGGCTCTCCCAATGGGCTCTGTCTCTCCTCCTTGCTGACAGCACCACAAGTGGTTGGTTTTGAAAACACCAGGATCCCCTCCCTCACCTGTTCCACCCCACACAGAAACCACTCTCATTCCCTCAGAGGCACGTGCTCTCTCCCGCCTTTGCCATTTGGTTATACTGTCCCTTTCTGGAATACTCTTCCTTCCAGCTCTTTAGCAAGGTGGTGCCTGCTCATCCTTTAGAGTAGAGGTCCCCCAGGGAAGCCTCACCCCCACTTCTGACTCAGTCCAGTTGCTGAGACACTCCCTTGGCACACTGTACTTCACCTTAAAAGTACTTTTTCAGGCTTGTCGTTAGTTGATTAATTATTTGTCATTCACCCATTCATCTGACACGTTTTTGGTGGGGTTTTTTTTTTAAGATTTTATTTATTTATTTATTTATTTTTAAAGATTTTATTTATTTATTTGAGAGAGAGAGAGAGAGATCACAAGTAGGCAGAGAGTCAGACAGAGAGAGAGAGAGAGAGAGAAGCAGGCTCCCCGCTGAGCAAAGAGCCCGACGCGGGGCTCGATCCCAGGCCACTGAGATCATGACCCGAGCCGAAGGCAGCGGCTCAATCCACTGAGCCACCCAGGAGCCCCTTATTTATTTATTTGACAGAGATCACAAGTAGTCAGAGAGGCAGGCGGAGAGAGAGGAGGAAGCAGGCTCCCCACAGAGCAGAGAGCCCAAATCAGGACTCAATCCCAGGACCCTGGGATCATGACCTGAGCCGAAGGCAGAGGCTTTAACCCACTGAGCCACCCAGGCGCCCCCGTTTTTGGGTTGTTTTTTTTTTTTTTTCCTAATTTTTTTTTAAGATTTTATTTATTTATTTGACAGACAGAGATCACAAGTAGGCAGAGAGGCAGGCAGAGAGAGAGGAGGAAGCAGGCTCCCTGCTGAGCAGAGAGCCTGATGCAGGGCTCGATCCCAGGACACTGGGATCATGACCCGAGCCGAAGGCAGAGGCTTTAACCCACTGAGCCACCCAGCCGCCCCTGGTTTTTGTTTTTTTTTAAGATTTTATTTATTTATTTGTCAGAGAGAGAGAGCACAAGCAGGCAGAGCGGCAGGCAGTGGGAGAGGGAGAAGCAGGCTCCCTGCTTGCAGGGAGCCCGAATCAGGACTCAATCCCAGGACCCTGGGATCATGAACTGAGCCAAAGGCAGATACTTAACCAACTGAGCCACCCAGGCATCCCTGACACGTTTTATTGAGTGTCTACTATGTGCCAGGCCCTGTTGGGGACACAGTGAACAAAACACTGTCCCTGCCCTCGTGGGGTTTACACTCCGGGGCATAAGGCTGACTGTGAACAGAATATTATTAATGAAATGTATATGTCAAGTGGTGATGGGTGTTATAAAATATCAGGACAAAAGAATAGTGAGCTATTGAGGAGTGACCATTTTAGGCGGGGTGGTCTGCGAAGGCCTTCCTGATGACATGTGAGTAGAGCTTTAAATGGAGATATCTGGAGGAAAAACAGAATAATTTAGGGGCAGAGAGGGCAAAGATGAACTGCAGCCCCGGGGAAGGGGATTGTTACCCAATGGAATTATAAGCCCAATGACATCACAGACTTGAGCATCTGAGGTCTGATTCGGGGCCAGGATGGGCCCTTTAATTAGGTCTAGGTGTGGCTAGGACTGAAAGAAAACCCCAAATAATGGTGGCCTAAACCCAGGCCTCTGTCTTGTTCTACTACACCTTCAACATGGTTCTACCTACGGCCCAGAACACTGTTCAGCTCTTTGATTACATCCACATTCCAGCCAGCAGGGAGGAGGAAGACAGGCCAGAGAAAGGCGTACCCTCTCGCTGGAAGGACAATTCCCAGACGTTGCATACATAATTTCTGATTAACTTCCACTTGCCAGAACTTGGAGGGGTACATCTAATTCCAAGGGCAGCAGGGCAATGTAATCTTATTGGGGGTAGGGGGTATTGGTCACCAAGCAGAAGGTGGGGCAGTGGTTGTTGAAAACAATGTGTAGGTTCTGAATTGTGGATAATGGGTCACTCTGGCTAATGACTTTGTGTGCCACTCAGCGGCCATCTCCCAAGTCTGGCCAGGCTGATGGGGCCGGTGGGGAATCTCTGCACCTTGACATTCAGAAACTGAAGGAAAAGAGGGACCTGCTGGACAAGGAGATCGTCCAGTTAATATCTGAGTAAGTCTCTTTGGGTTCCTCAGCATGCTTAAGATAACTTTTAACCTGGGCCCGGTAACTGAAACCCAGCCACACTAGCTTAGTGTAAAACCAGAACTATGTCCTGTGGAGGGATTCAACGTATCTCAGCAGCCTCTCTCGGGTAGGGGGTGGTCAGACCCAGGAGGAGCAGGAACAAGGGAATGGAAAGCTGTCCAGAGCAGAGGTTATCGCTCTCTCAGTCCATCTCTATCTCTGCTTCTGGTCCTTCTCTGCCTCTGCTTCTGTCTGCACACCACCTCCATTCTCTCTCTACAGGTGGGCTCTCCAGGGCTTGGGGAAAGCTGGCTCTTCCCCAACTCCTGGACTTTCTCACGGCCCTCGCTCCAGCCAGGTGGCACAGACTGAGCAGTCTTTGAATGTGCATTTCACGCAGGAGGGGAATCTGACTAGCCACCCATGTGCCCATCTGTGAATCCCCCTGCGGTGGCCAGGGTCACATAGCACCGATGTGGCTGGGAACTGCTTCCTCAAGGCACAGGGAGATTTGCCTCCTGAGGGCAGGGTCTGTCTTGTCCATAGTAGATCCTTAGTGAACATTTGTGGTTTTTTGTTTTTCTAAGATTTTATTTATTTACATGACAGACAGAGATCACAGTAGGCAGAGAGAGAGGGGGAAAGCAGGCTCCCCACTGAGCAGAGAGCCCGATGTGGGGCTTGATCCCAGGACCCCGAGATCATGACCTGAGCCGAAGGCAGAGGCTTAACCCACTGAGCCACCCAGGCGCCCCTTGTGTGTGTGTGTGTGTGTGTGTATTTTTTAAGATCTTATTTATTTGCCAGAGAGAGAGAGTACAAGCAGGGGGAGTGGCAGGCAGAGGGAGAAAGCAGACTCTCCACTGAGCACGGAGCCTGAGCACAGATTCCAGGACCATGAGATCAGGACCTGGGCCAAAGGCAAACATTTAACCCACTGAGCCACCTCAGCTCAGGTCCTGATCTCAGGTTCCTGGAATCAAGTCCTATGTCAGCTCCTTGCTCAGTGGGGAGTCTGCTTCCCTCTCTGCCTGCTGCTCCCCCTGCTTGTGCGCTCTCTCTCTCTCTCTCTCTCTCTGATGAATAAATAAATAAAATCTTTAAATAGATGCCTTGTTACTCTCTGAACCTTGGATCCTCCTTAGCTTTCTTTTTTTTTTTTGTTTAATTTAATAAAGATTTATTTATTTATCTGTCAGAGAGATAGAGAACACAGATGGGGACAGTGGCAGACAGAGGGAGAGGCAGGCTCCTCACTGAGCAGGGAGCCTGACGCAGGACTCGATCCTAGGACCCTGGGATCATGACCCGAGCTAAAGGCAGACGCTTAACCAACTGAGCCATCCAGGTGTCTCTCTCCTCAGCTTTCTTTTTTCTTTTTTTTTTTTTTTTAATTTTTTATAAGATTTTATTTATTTATTTGACACAGAGAGAACACAAGTAGGCAGAGAGGCAGGCAGAGGGGGAAGCAGGCTCCCCACTGAGTAGAGAGCCTGATGCGGGGCTGGATATCAGGACCCTGAGATCATGACTTGAGCTGAAGGCAGAGGCTTAACCCACTGAGCCACCCGAGAGCCCCTCTCCTCAGCTTTCTTAAAGATAGTCTCTCTCTCTCTCTCCACCCCTCACCCCAGAGGCTACAGTGTGGATGAACTGGAGGACCACATCTCCCAGCTCCACGAGTATAATGACATCAAGGATGTAGGCCAGATGCTTCTAGGCAAACTAGGTGAGCAACAGGACCCCAGAGGAGCACCAGGGCTTGGAGGGACGGAGTCTGCGTTCCCCCGGGTGTCTGGATTTTGCTCCTGGCCCTCTAACTTGCCAGCCTTCCTATCCTCCTCAGCTGGCCCCCTCCCCGAATGCCCCGTGCAGCTGTACAGCTCTTGCAGGAGTCCCTGAGGTTTCTTCCCTCAAGTGTAGAGCCTGCTTCAGTGCCCCAGGCAGGTTTGAACATGAACTTGCCTACTTGCTAGATTGAGGGCTGTGGTTCCCGGTCTTCTGGGGCCTACTCAGCCTTAAGTGGCTGACTTGCTCCAGAGGCAGAAGATCACAGAAGGGGGACTCTGTGACTTTAAGGAGTATTTTGTTCTTCCTTGAACACAGTCACTATCCAGAGGGCTCGGCCAAGTACAGACATCTGTGTGCCTGGGCTGGTTAGGATAGTCCGGTTTGAAGGAAGCGAAGGCATGGATGGCCTCAGTCCAGTCACCTGGCTGGGGTCAGTGGGCACTCCAGCGTTCAGCAGCCAGTGACTGTGTGGGACAGGGTGCGGGGCTGGGACGTCTGCCTGGTCGCTGCCGGAGTTTAGCACTTCCTGTAGAATTGCCCATCAGCATCCAGGAGTCTGTGGCGGGGAGGGCTTCTCTGTTCCAGTGGAAACTGGGTCCCAAGGAAGGAAAGGGGACAACAGGAGGAGGGAAATACAGATGGAGAAAGGAGGGCGATCAGGCCCCAAGGAGAAAGGGAGGTGAGGGGACTGTAGCCTGGTGGTTATGCACATCAGTTCTCGGGAGATGGAACCCAGCTTGAGACCCATCTTTCCCGGCCTGGGACCTGGAGAGGACAGAGCAGCCTCTCCTCTGAGGTGACATTTACTGAGCACCTGCTCTGCGCTGCTCTGCAGGGTCTGGGGCACCCTAGTGAGCCTACTTAAAGGACCCCGTTCTCATGTGACTTAGGTTTTGGTATTGGGGGAGGGGTGGGGAAAGGTCAGTAAGTAAAGGAACATGAACAAAGGAATTATAAAATGTGTTAAGTGTTATGAGGGAAACAAAGGCCAGAGATGGAAAGGAATATTGAGGTTTGAACAGGGTGGTGGGTAGGGAGGAGCTAAGGCGGTCAGGATAGGCCTCTCAGGAGACCCCTTACCCTGGGAGGAAGAAAGGGTCTTTGAGGGGGCAGGAGAAATGGCACCACCAAATGGCCAGGGCATGACCCATGGGCCAGGCGAAGGAGTGAGGGTTTTCAGCAGTTCCCAGGTGCGATGTAAATATAAATTTGCCTTTTTAGCAGGTGGCTGTAGCTGCTCTGTGTGGAGTCCCAGGGTGCTTTGTTTGACTCCTCTGTGAAGTGGGGTAAGGGTTCAGTAAGTCTAGTTTGGGGTGACCAAGCAGAGCCCACAGTGGTAGGGTCTGGAAGGAGTAGCAAGAGGATATGTCAGCCAACTAGGGGAGCAGCGGGGAGGCCCAGGAGTGGGTCCTGGGGAGGTCAGGCCTTTGGCCATTCTCCCTTCCACTCCTCCCAAGCGACATGCGTTCTTCCTTCTTTCTTTCCTTTCAGCCGTGATCCGAGGTGTCACCACCAAAGAACTGTATCCAGAATTTGGCCTGGATGTGAATGACTGAGCCAAGGTTCACAGCCCTTTGTCCACAGCCCAGTGAGACAGGCAGATTTAAACATGAGAGGCAGTGAGAGCCCAGCACCCACAGGCTTCCCAGCAAGGAAGTGTCAGAAGCTGTTTTCTAGAGAACTCAGTCTGAGTCAGGAGGGAGCCCAGACAAGAGCTGGACAGCGAAGAGCTATTCCCAGCTCCAAGTTTCCTGAAATGTTCCCAAGATGTATCTATGTGTGTATGTCTCCCATTTGTAAATAAACACACAAGCAATCTGGGTGTGAATCTATACATTGAGTCCCTCTCCTCTGGTAGCCCCCTAATCTTCCTCAGGAGAAAGAGAGCCTGCCTTGGATCGTACCGAGCTTACATGTACCAAGCACGGTGCTGAGCACCTGACATCTGTTATCTCTAATGCCTTAGTCCATCCCATGAGAAATGAATATTGGTATCCCCCCCGTACAGATGAGCAAATTGAGGCTCAGAGAAGCAAAGTGACTTACCCAAGGTCACACAGCCAGTAAGTGGCAGAGCAGAGATTCAAGCATAAGTCTCATTCTGAGGCTTATGGTGTGCAATACAGCCTTTCTGGATTGGGGGCCAGGCAGGGAGGAGCTGAGTGTGAGGCAGTGACGCTGGGGGAATTCTTCCCTTGTGCGTCCCATCTGCACAAGGAGGTTTCCAGTCCCGACTACAGTCCTCTGCCACGGTGGGGCAAGCTGTCGCTTCTCCCTTGTGTCTTGCTTGTCCTGATCCACCAGCACTGGCAGAAGGAAGACGAGTGTTGCAAGTGCCTGGTGCAATCCGGAATGGCAGGATTTCACACTGGACCCGCCAAGAGTTCTGAATGTCCCAGCTGCTCAGCCGGCTGTCCCTGCTGGACGTCTTCTTGAGATCATCAGTGTGATAGCAGAGCTTGAGGGCAGGCCGTCATGAGGTGAAGGAAGCACAGTTTCTAAAAACCGGCCGTGTGAGTCAGGCCTGGGTGTGGGTTCCAGCTCTGCCCACCTAGGAGCCGAGTGATCACAGCCACTGACTTGGCCTCTATAAGCAGAAATCACAGTAGGACCATATGCGGCGGGCGGTTAGCATAAGCTGCCTCAGCAAACAACCCCACATCTCCGTGGCTGAGCACAAGAAAGTTTACTGATCAAGTCTGATGAAGGTCTGGGACCACCCCCACCCACTCCCCTGCCGCATTTTAGGGCTTCACCGCCGGAATCCACAGCAGGGAGCAGAGACAAGAAGACACCTCAAGTCTGAATCAACCCGTCCCCCTATCGGCAGCCGTCACTCCTCTCACAGACAGTTGTCCAGAACTAGTCATGGGGCCCAAACCCTCCAAAGGAGACTGGGACTGGGAAAGGAGGGTGAGCACCTGGATATAGGGCGGGGACTGGCTGCCGTCTGAGCCCCACCTGCCTAGCTGCCAGTGCCCCATCCGCGCTCCTCAGTGGCTGGCCTGACCCGTGCCCGTGCCTGTGCCCCAGCCCCGTCCAGGTGGCAGACACGTTCACACATTCGTTTCGGATGCATGCCCTCCTTGATGACCACGAGGGCCAGAGCGCTTTCCCATTTGGGGCCATTTCTTGCTATTTCCTATACCTTCACATCATTGTGTCCACAGGTTTTCACAACCACCTGACACCAGACAGCTCCCATCATCCTCCTCACTTTGTAGAAGAGAAAACAGGCTCAGTGAGTAGAAGCAACTTGTCAAAGTCACACAGTGGCCAAGCGGGAACAAGAGCCCCAGTCTGTCTGGCTCCAGACTCTGGCCTTCCAACCTGGGCCCCACACTGTGAGGCCTTCATGGGTTCTCCTCCCAGCCTGGGTGCCCTCTGAGGACAAAACTGTCAGATTCATCTCGAGTGACACCTTCCGTGCCTGCACCTCACACGTATTTAGTATTTCCCTACCAAATGTGACCCTGATCCCAACCTCTAGGTCCTGAGGGAGAGCTAGTGATCTAACTGGAGATGGGTGCAGGACGGGGTCAGGCTTTCGGAGTCTCTCACATGTCTGAAGTCCTACACAGCTGTCCCCTCACTTTTCCCTTGCAGCTTCCTGGGCCACATCACCTTCCAGTGTAGGAGGAGCAAGAGAGGTCAGCAGCCAGGCTTGGGGTGAGGGGGGGAGCCTCAGGAGGAAAGGCCCCCACCTGCAGGTCCCCCCACCACCACCTCGCCCCATTTTCTCCACACAGCTGGCTTGTTGTATCTCTGTCCACACTGTGTCTCTCCATGCCAGGAGCTGGGAGCCACAGCCTCTGGTTCTCTGCCATGCAGTGTTCACCTGCCAGCAGAAGTCAGGGATCTAAGAAATGATGACAATGTAGTTCGATCAAAGGCTGTTGTGGGTCACAGAAACACGTGAACAGCACCTAACCAGTTTGGGACACTGGGGAAATGTCACCGGGTAGAGACACCCATGCATGTACTGGGAGTCCGCCAGACAAGAACATGGGTGAGGATTCCAGGAGGAGAAATGACATTGACAGAGGCCCTGAGGCGGAGATCTTGGTGGACCCAGGACAGGTACTGGGCACTCAGTCTGCTTGGACAGGGATTAGAGACAATTTTCTGACTATTTACTTGGACTCTTGGTGCAGATGGGACCCTACCCCAGACACAGTGTTAACCCAGCTCTGCATTTGGGGCTGATCCTTTTTTGCAGGGAGATGGGTACGGTTTTTATTTTCTGTAACTCACATTTCATGATCTAACTCCTACAGTTTGAAAAAAAAATCCAATGAGACATTAGCTCCAATGAAGACGTTAAAAGAAGACACATAGTGGGTGCCTGACAGGCTCGCTCGGAAAAGGGTGCAACTCTTGATCTCGGGGTTCATGTGTTTGAGCCCCATGTGGAGCATGGCGATTACTTAAATAAAACTTTAAAAAAACAAAAATAAGGGACACTTCAGTGGCTCAGTCGGTTAAGGGTCTGACTCTTGACTTCATCTCAGGTCATGATCTCAGGGTCTTGAGATGGAGCCCCGTGTCGGGCTCTGTGCAGGGCATGGAGCCTGCTTAAGATTCTCTCTCTCTCTCTCAAAAAATTAAAAATAAAAAAGACACATAATTAAAAACAATAGGGAATGCCCCCAAAACAATAATAACCCTGGGGCGCCTGGGTGGCTCAGTAGGTTAAAGCCTCTGCTTTCGGCTCTGGTCATGATCCCAGGGTCCTGGGATCGAGCCCCGCATCGGCATTGGGCTCTCTGCTCAGCAGGGAGCCTGCTTCCTCCTCTATCTCTCTGCCTGCCTCTCTGCCTGCTTGTGATCTCTGTCTGTCAAATAAATAAATAAAATCTTTAAAAAAAATAATAATAATAACCCTTATTCAAGATGGGAGGATTTGGGGTGTTTTCTCTTTTCTTATGTTTTTCTCTAGAGCAGGCTGCTATCACACGGGTGGTTCCGGTGCCAGAATCCCTACACCTTCCACCTGCTGACTCTCTCCATTCCCAGTCCAGCCAGTTAACCCTGACCTTCCCGGAATTAATCCTTTCTTTGCTTTGCTTTATTCCTTCCCTTTTTCCTTAACTCCGTACTAGTTATTTTGCTTGATTCTAAACTTATCCTCAACCCTAGTTCCAAATATTACTAGAGATCATTTTTCCCTGGACCCTCGCCTCTTTACAAAATACAGAAAGCCCTGAGTCCCAAGACCTCTTGTGGCTATGTACTTGTCTTCTGGCAGTTGTCCTGAGTTGCGTTTCTTCTCGAAGGCATCGCATGGCACTGGGGCTGATCCCAGGTTCTCAAGCTGAGAATGAATGAATGAATACACTGCCCAGAACTCCTGAGACCAAAAAGGATGCTGAAAAGGAAAGCATCACCTGGATCCATTTCCTCTTTTGTGAGGTCAGGTCTGTCCGGTGTCATGGCAGGCGGAAGCCTCTAGGGGGCAGTGTCTGCCCAGAGATGCGCCGAAGGCCGGTGAGGCGAGCTCTAGGAAGGTTTTGCTGGGAAGGTCCCAGCCTGCGGAGCCACTGGCCTAGGACAACCAGATCGTCAACGCGCCCCACACAGAAGTGGGGTTCTCGCCGGCAGCACCCCTCTCAGGAGTCTGGAGTGACCCCAACCCCTGCCACAGGCGGTAAGGAGCCCACTGGCTGTGAGATGCGGAGAGTGACAAGTGCCATTTCTCAGGGGTCACCTCTGTGGCGGCAGCAGAGGGTACCTCTGTCACAGACCTCAATGGTTTGATCGCATCTAGTGTAAACCTGACTCAAAACCATTTATTATCCAGCCCCTACGTCACGAACACAACACAACCTGCATTGTTGTCATCCCTGGGGACGGAAAGGGGTCATTTCTGGACAGCCCACCCTCAGGGAGGCAGTGTCACCAAACAGCACCCCACTTGAGCTCTGCTCAGAAGGGGACACATCGGGGAAGGGGTGTGGGGAGGAAGGCCAGGAGCCCAGGGCCCCACTGTGGTGGGAGAAGTGTGCCTGCAGCCACCCCCCACACCTGCCCCGATGCCCTGGAGGCACTATGATGAAAGTTCTGGGTCAGGTGGATGGGGACTGACAATGAGGTGAAAGGTGACAGCCACACACTCAAACCAGTCACAAGCCGGAGGGCTCCCCAGAGAAAGGGTTGATGGTGGTAACAGCTACCCTTTACGAAACGCCCAGGCCGAGAGACAAGCATGTCACCAGGTACATCCCATCCGCACCTCCCAATCACTGAGTGCATTAGGTGGAGTCTCCCCATTTCCAAACAGCAGCTCAGGGGTGGAGTGACTCGCTCCAGGTCACAGGGCAGATTAATAGCTGCACTATCCGACCCCAGGGCCTGGCTCCACGGGGGGATGTCCTGCCTCCCCAGCAGAGGCCCAGCCTCCCAGGAGTCTCTCATCCAACATTACGTGTTGACAAAAGGAGGAGTTAGAACCTGAACCCAGAACTCTCTGAGCCCTTAAGCTCAAGGTCTTAACCACAAATCTCCTGTGCTTCTTAGAATTTGTATCTGCCTAAGCCCTGACCTAGCAGCCAGGCCAGTGGCCAACAATGAACAGCCTTGGCCTTGACCCCTCTTTCCCAATTCGTCTGAGCAGGAGGCTTTGCTCCCTTCCCGGGGACCCTCTCATTCCTAACATCAGGGCAGGACCAGACCCTCTCCCGACCTTTAGCTTCCTCAGCCTCTTGTGTTCATCCCGGAATCCCAAAGGATCTCAGCCGGAATGACCATCACAGCATATAACACCGGGAGAGCATTGCCAGACCCCAGGCCTAGAGTTCAGCGCGATAGCGACTGTGTTTGCGCAGATTCCTAA